GGTGCCACGGCTCCGCGCTGCTGCTTCCTGTTCCGGCGTCAGGAGGAGCCGCGCGCTGCTGGTGCTGCTGCTGGTGCTGCTCCCTCCGCTGTTGGGTGTCGTCGTCGCCGCCGCTGTCAGTGGGGCTGCGCTTGGTTCTTCAGATCTCGCTTTCCCCGGACCCATCGCCGCTCCTAGACCTTGCTGCGGGCTCGGATCTTGCCGGGTGAGGCTGCTTCGGCGCTAATAGGGGTCGTGGAGGGGCCCGAGGGAACGCGCTCGAGCGGGAGGCGGGCGCGGTAACGGAGGTGCCTTGAGTCGCTCTTCTGGGGATAAGCATTTTATCCCCGTCATCTTCCTTGGGGCTGCGGGCTGTCCCCAGACCTCTCCCTCGCCCCCGGGGGAAGACGTCGGAGACGGGTGAGGTCGCGCCCGACGGGTTTCTCCGCGCTTGACGTCAGGCCTGGCGGGGGGGCGGGGCGGGGAGTGGGCCCGGCCCTTCCCCCACCCCTTGCCGAGCGGGCATGACCCGCTCCGAGGCCGGTTCGCTCCGGTTGATCCGGGCTCCCTTTGTTCATTTGGCCCGAAAGGGCCGCCGGCCGCGCGCCCCTTGGCCCCAGCTTCCCCCATTCATTAATTTCTAATAAAAGGGAAGACCTAGGCCTGAATAGATTCTTCGAGGAATCTTTGACCCTTGTTTAAGATTATCCGCAGTATGACAACGTTCCGGTCATTCCTTACTGGAGGAGTTGCTAGCAAATACATTGTATTAGATAAGCACCCACTAGGAACTATTGAGTTGTGTAATATTTTGTTTTTTAGGATTTAGGAGCACATATTATCCATGGTAGCTTGTAGATAGTTGAACCATTTTCCTCTTTGAAAACCAAGAGTAGTGCTTTTAATATATATAAAGATTCTAATGTTGAAGCATCAAACCATACTCACCAGAGCGAGAAAAATTTTTTATAGCATTACTACTAAAGAAATGCTCGTACACCTGGTGATTTTCGAGGTCCGTTTTGAAAACAAACCCTCATTACAGGCGAAGGTAGTCTTCAGAAATCTTGTCAGAAGTTCTTTGTTCAGTACTGTTCATTGCGCAGGAAAACCAGAAATTTTTCTTGCTGCTGGCGTCTCTGAACCTCCTATTCATACCTAGTTTGTCTCAGGAACTTGAGTTGAGCTGCGAATATTGGCGTGTTCTTTTCCTCTCTCCAGGAGGAACAGAGATCCATATCTTAACCGAAATCCTGGGGCCCAGTGTGTTTTGAAATTCAGAAATCTTTGAATTTTATCTTTAGATTTTAGAAAGACGATAACGTGCACAGACATAACACCCCCAGCCAGCAGTGTTGGTTGGGGCCGTATCCCCTAATCCAACATTAATATTTGTGCAGCGATAGGTGTGAATTAATGGAAACTATAAATAGCCTCAGGTCAGGTTTTGCCACCAAATCAGTTTTATGCCAAACTTGAGAACCATTTCTTTCAGTTTCAGAGGTTTCTGAGTTGAGAACTGCATATAAAGGTTTATGGATCTATCATAGCGATTGTAAAAGCTAACATTTGTTGAGTTTTTGCTATATGCCAGGCAGTGCCCAAGAGATTTGTTTACAAATCTGTGAGGTGGATACTATTTCTGCCTTTTACCTCTGAGGTTTGGAGAGTTCAGCTTGTCCAGAGCCAGCCAGTGAAGAGCTGCATTTTATCTAGTCAGTCATACTTTTAGCATTCACTCTTTTAACCATTTGCGTATGCCCACATACAGAAGAAGACAAAAGGATATATCTGTTGCCCACCCACTGTTTTCCTAGTACTATTATTATAGGCACTTGATTTATTAGTCCCATTTAGTCTCTCACGTTACTAGCCGGTTCTTTACAGTTAAAGGAACTGACATTCAGGTGAGCTGAGACATTCAAACCTTGGTCTAAGGGCTCTCTGCTAAGACTTTCATATCCCTCCCCCTTCTATATTCCAACCCATCTGACCTAACACTGCCCACAGATCCTTTTTTGCCTCCCTCAGCTTTTGCACAAACTGCACTCCTTTCCCTAAGGCCTGTCCCACCATCCCCTACTCATTGTTCTTTCAGATGGCAATGGCGGGAGGTAGCACTTCTCAGGATTCTTCCCCATCCTCCCTCCCTTAATTCCTTTAGAAGCTCTTTGAAATATTCCCATAGTGCCCTGTGCTTACCCCAAGTAATGTTTAAACACCAGACTGAATTCCTGAAGCATTTATTCTATACAATACTTTTCATTTCTTCAAAGCCCAACACAGTGCTTAGCACATATGTTCCAAGAAGTAGCTGAATAATTCTAGACAATATGGCTGACAAGAAGTTATTGGAAAAATGACTTTTTAAAATTATATTTCAAAGAAATTTAAAATGTTCAAATCCTCAATTTCTTGAGTTGCCCAAATGTAGGCTACATAAAAGCCAATACTAAAAACTGTCATATATTTTAACTCAAGTTTATATTTTCAACACAATATATTACCATCATCCCCCTTAACTAAACAAATCAAAGCAAAAATTCTGATTTCTCTTAATAAACATCTTACATGTCTGTAGTACCTTATAGATTATTAAATGTTATTTTTAATTGTGAAGTAGTAGGAATTATTATAACTGTTTGGCAGATAAAAACATAGTCTCTGGTTAAGCTTGCCTTGTCAAAAGACTCAGTTAAAAGGATTGATGTACAGCCCTGGCTAGTGTGGCTTGGTTGGTTGGAGCATCATCCCGTGCTCTGGAGGGTCATGGGTTCGATTATGGGTCAGGGCACATGCCTAGGTTGCGAGTTCGATCACAGTCTGGTTGCCCGCTGGAGGCAACCAATCAATGTTTCCCCCCCCCCCTTCCTCCTTCTCTAAAATCAATAATTTTTAAAAAAGAAATTGATAAGCAACCTCTTTAAAAAATATAAATTAAAGCATTGATGTTCAGTTTTTATAACTGAGTAGTCGTAGACTGTTTCTCTCCACCACAGTTTGGTGGCCTTTTGAAATATTTCTTGTCCAGTAGTCAATAGTAATTTATGGAGTTCAACTTCCTTAAACCTTCCTGTGATTGAATTACCATTTTTTACTCTAAAGGCCATAGAAATTACAGAAATGTTTACTTTTCTATTGTATGTTAAAAGAAATTTTGTACTCTTTTAAAATTACTATTCTTGCTGCTCATAAAATTATTTTTCAGTTGATGCATAGATTATGCCATAAAGTGGTAGTGAAAGTTTTGGAAGGAATAGCTTTAGATTATTCCAAGAAGAGAAAAAAATGAAAATCTTTCTTGATTATAAACCTTTTTTTTTTCCAGTTCAAGGTTACATTGGCCTCATCTTAATAATTAGCATAATCCAGGTGTTTTGGAATAGTTGTTTAGAAAAATCTAATTTTTTTAAACATTCTGCAACTCTTGTCATATTGAGACACTGGTGTCCTGCTTGATTTTTTTCTTTTTTTTTTTTTTTGGCCTTTTTATGATGAAAGTATTCCCCAAAATATAAGTTGGAATGTTTCTATTTAACATGAACACTGTTCATTCTAGGCATCGAGGGCAGGTCACTTTCCTGTGCAGTGATGTAGAACAAGAAGTGACCTATTTCCAATTCTTTTGGTCAGGGCTTCATTATTTTAATGACAAGATTCTAGTGCTTCGTCTGACTTCCAGGATTTGATTTTGATTTTAAAATTTTGAAAGACAGAATTGTGAATCTGTTCAATACTATTAACTTAGGGAATAACTTATACTTTGATGTAATTCTATAACTAGTTAACTTTATATTATGTATATATGTTTTTCAAAAACTAAGAGGGAAAAGAATAATTCTGAAAATTTGAACAGCAAGACCAGATGAAATTGAATTGGTTGTTTTGTTAGTTCTTTGCTCTAGGATTAATGTGAACTTTGATACAGAACCATTTGTTTCAGCAAGGCTTACCCTGTTTGAAAAGCATGTTATGTGTACTTTAAACTTTTCATTCACTGATAAAAGTTTCTTCAGGTGTTAGCCCTAAGAATCTACTATTGTGCGATGACTTTTAGTATAAAACAAGCCTTAACTTGGAAATGAATGGATAATTATATTTGCTATACATTCAAGATGTGTTTTTTCACATTCTGAATAAAAAGCAAGGTTACTGCAGTTGTGAATTAGTAGGCCTCATGTTCTGTTTCTTCATCATTCCTTCTGATAACCAAATCATACTTAATAAAACTCTTTAAGAATGCAAGGATGGCTCAGTATTAAGCAATCTACATGTATAAAATTAACTGTTGATAGGGTCAGAGGAGAAGAACTGAGATCAACTCATTAAATGCCAAAAGATCTTCTGAAGGAATGTAGTGTCGTCTTTATTTTTTAAATAACAAAATAAGAATAAATATAGCAATATAGACATAAACAGAAACTTCTTTGATGTAATTTTTTAAGTCTCAAACTAAAAATGAGAATTAATTTAAACATTAGCAGCATTCCCAGGAAATTTGGGAACAAGACTTCTGTGCTTTCACTATTTAACATTTCTTTGTTGTTTAAGTCCTAGTTGATGCAAAGGAGAAAAGAGCTATAAATATGGAAAAGAGAAGGCAAAATTATTTTTTGCAAAAGCCATGATTCTTTACCTGGAAATCCAGGGAATTAACTGAGAAACTTTCAAGAATAAAATAATTCAGTAATTCCCTGCTTACTAAAGTGGTACACTGAAATTTTAAAAAGCTTTTCCCATATGTGAACAACCAAGTAGAAAACACCGTGAAATAAAAGAGACAATTTTATAACCACAAGAAAAAGTTTACCAGCCCAGCCAGGCATGGCTCAGCGGTTGAGCATCAACCTAGGATCCAGGAGATCAAGGTTTGATTCCCAGTCAGGGCACATGCCAGGGTTGTGGGCTTGATTCCCCAGTAGGGGACATGCAGGAGGCAGCTGATCAATGACTCTCATCATTGATGTTTCTATCTCTCTCTCCCTCTCCCTTCCTCTTTCTGAAATCAATAAAGATGCATTTAAAAAAAAAAAAAGAAAAGAAAAAGTTTACCAGTTAGAAACCTAATTCACAAGAAATGTGTAGGAGACATGATTTTATAAAACTACTGAGTGATAATAAATGACAGTTATGGAAACTAGAAAGACATATCTTGTTCTTTAATGAGAAGATTTGATATTTTAAATATATCACATGTCCCCTAAATTAATCTGTAAATTTAGTGCAATTCCAACCACTTTTTTAATCCTCAAAAGGATATTTTTTCCATTGCTTTTCAAAGAGAGTGGAAGGGGGAGAAAGAGGAACATCAATGTGAGAGAGACACATCAGTTGGTTACCTTCTGCATGCACCCCGACTGGGGCCAGGGATCAAGCCTACAACCAAAGTACATGCCCTTGACTGGAATCAAACCCAAGACCCTTCAGCCCGAGGCCTGACCCTCTAATCACTGAGCCAAATCAGCTAGAGTACACCCAACATATTTTTTAGATTTTTTTTTTTTTTTTTTACAAAAGGATCTGGAAAAGGTAAACATGAAAATATTCAGGAAAATCTGAACAAAGAGCAGTAATAGTAGGGCAACTAACGTTAAAATTTATTAAAAGTTAAAGCTTCCATAATTAAGATAGAATTTTATGGTGCAGATTAGTAAAATAGAGTCCAAAATACCCGTGGGAAATGATGGAGGCCTGGTGGAAAAGAGGCTTGATTCTTGAATCAGACTCTACCTGGAATTGAACCCCTTCTCTATTGGTCACTATCTTTGTGACCTTAAGCAGTTAACTTGATAAGCCTCCTTCTCGTCAGCTGTAAACTGGGGGTGGTATAGAATTTGCATTTGTAGGGCTCTGAGGCTATTAAATGAGATTATGCACTTAGCATGGCACCTGTACCATGGATGTTCAATAAATATTAGTTGTTTTTATTGATTGATTGATTAGGGTGGGATATCAATTTGTTGTTTCACTTATTTATGCAATCATTGGTTGATTCTTTTGTGTGCCCTGACCAGGGATCGAACTCGCAGCCTTGGAATATCAGGATGATGCTCTAACCGACTGAGCTGCCTGACCAGGGCTAATATTAGTTGTAAATAACAGTAGAATGTGTTAAAGATAGTTTGTCAGATCAGCTGAGAAAAGATAGATTATTCTATAATTATTGTTTGGAAGAACAGAAAGAGTGTAAACAAGTTAAACCATAAAAATTCTGAAAGAAAGCATAGGCGACTTTTGGGGGGGGGTGAGGGATGTGAGAGAGTTGCTCCCCGTATGGCCCCTGACTGGGAACTGAACCCGCTACCTTTCAGTGCACAGGACAACTCTCCATCCAACTGAGCCACCTGGCCAGGACTGGTGAATATTTTTTTTAACTTGGATTAGGCAAGGCCTTTGTATGACAGAAGCCACATGTAGTTTGGAAAGATTGATAAGTTTGCACGAAATTAAAAATATTTGTAGTGCCTAAAAATACTATTTGGAGGATCTACAAATAAAAGGAATTCGGGATTTTTTTTTTTTTTTTTTTTTGGTCTCATATATGACACAGAGAGCTAGCTAATTTCCTTACTATCTTATGAAGCATTTTTTCAGAAAGATGTGCACTACTAAGTAGTAACATTATCAAACGCAAATGACTGCATACTGTCTTGTTCTGTTTATATGAAGTCAAAGAGCAAGCAAAAGCTAAGTCGAGACATTGCTGGGTGGAAAGGGGAGTTGCTTGGAAAGGAGCCATGAGTAAACCTCAAGTAAGGGAAATGTTCTGTATCTTGGACACATGCACTTGTCAGAGCTTGTTGACCAAACACTTAAGATCCTTGCATCTTATTAAGTGTTAATTTATTTCAATTTTAAAAATTGATAAAAGTGGTCCAAGGACACAAGCAGATTTACAGAAAAAGAAGTATAAATGAAGTATTAAATTTAAAAGATGCTCTTCTTTCTACTTAAAGAAATCTAAGTTAAAACAAGATGTGGATTTTTTAAATCTACCATAATTGAAAACAGTTTATAAATTTAATAATATCCAGTGGTGAAGAGGAGTTAGAAGGAAAAGGTAGGCCATGCATATTGGCAAGGAACTTTAAAATTGGCGTAGACTTTTGAGATGGAATTTAGATAACTACCTGTTGGCTGGAAATTTTACTTCTAGTACTTTTTCCTGGTGATACACCTCACGAGTGAGCAAAGGCGTATTCAGGCATGTTCATTCTATCATTGTTTCAGACAACACAAAATGCAAACAAACCTAAACTGCCACCACAATGAGTGTGTAAATTGTGGATCACTTTTGTATGATTTTCAGCCAGTAAAAAGGGATGAAGTTAGAAGATACAAGAAATAGTAAACCCTGGTTTTGAAATGTTCCTTCTTCCTTTCTTTTTCTTCCTTTCTTTCTGTTTTTGTTTTTAGGAAAATGTCTGATGAATTTTCGGTAAGTTGATGCACTTATTCTTTCTAAGTTTTTTAGCTCTTAAGAAAGCAACGTAGTCCTAATAGTGGGCCATAAGTCTTTCAGTTTAAAAGAGATGCTTTCTGTGGTGCTTGTTTTCTGGTGGGGCAGGGGTGGGGGTGGTATGTGATTTTGATAGGTTATTTGCCTTAATTTACTTATATATAACATTTGAAAATATATTTTGAAGTATTTCTATATGAACCCTTAAGTAAACAATTTTAAGTATTACTTCTGTTCTCTTTTACCCTCATATTATTATTATTAATAGCCAGCGTTGGTTGGAAATTAAATGCCAGGCACTGTGTTAACTGCATGATATAAATTATCTCATTTAAAAATGCCTCAAGTTAACCCTACCTTTTTGGAGGAAGCTAATATTCAGAGAAAGTATGTAACTCGTTTGAGGTAAAGCAGGATTCAAATCCATAGTATGTTAATTAGTTGTGTTTGGAAAACTTGAGCTTCTTTGAGAAATTTGCCTTGTAAAGTTGATATTCAAGGTAACCCCTCAAGTTTTGTATTAAATGAATTTTTTAAACTGAACAGCTTGGCTTTTGAAGATGTTACAGAGGTTTATAATCATGTTTGGCATGACTTACTCCTAAATAAGATCAGTAAGACATGCCTTTTCTGTATTGCAGTTGGCAGATGCACTACCTGACCACTCCCCTGCCAAAACTTCTGCTGTGAGCAATACAAAACCTAGCCAACCTCCTCAAAGCTGGCCAGGTTCCAACCCTTGGAATAACCCAAGTGCTCCGCCTTCTGTGCCATCTGGACTCCCACCAAGTGCAACACCCTCCACTGTGCCTTTCGGACCAGCACCAGCAGGAATGTATCCCTCTGTGCCTCCCACTGGACCACCTCCAGGACCCCCAGGACCCTTTCCTCCTTCTGGACCATCATGCCCCCCACCTGGTGGTCCTTATCCAGCCCCAGCTGTGCCAGGTCCTGGCCCCACAGGGCCATATCCTACACCAAATATGCCCTTTCCAGAGCTTCCTCGACCATATGGTGCTCCCACTGATCCAGTTGCAGCTGGTCCTTTAGGTCCATGGGGATCCATGTCTTCTGGACCTTGGGCACCAGGAATGGGAGGGCAGTATCCTACACCTAATATGCCATACCCATCTCCAGGGCCATATCCCGCACCTCCTCCTCCCCAAGCACCAGGGGCAGCACCACCTGTTCCATGGGGCACTGTTCCCCCAGGCGCCTGGGGACCACCAGCACCATATCCTGCCCCTGCAGGATCATATCCCACACCAGGACTCTATCCCACTCCCAATAATCCTTTTCAAGTGCCTTCAGGACCTTCTGGTGCTCCACCAATGCCTGGTGGCCCCCATGTGAGTGTTTAATTTGTTATTTAACATGCACTAATAGTCACATAAGCACAACTAAAAGATTATTTGTCTCCAGTTTGGGTTGGAGGACTAGAAAGCTTTTAAAACTTTCTAAAAGAAGGTGGGTGTAGAATAAATTTCAGATTTCAGGTAAAGCATTTAAAAGAATGAAAACACAAGTCACCTATTCTCAGCACTAAAAATGAAAAGAAAATTTTTCCAAAGATCTCCAAAGACATTGTAATGTAGTAAATAATGTCCTTAATAGCATTTTTTGAGGTCAAGTCAGAGATGCATTACATTGGACTTTTTAAGAACATGTCTCAATGTTGTATAGTATCAAAGCAAAGCACAGTTCAATGAAAGCAATCCCTGCCTGTCTGGCTTGATATACAGGTAGATTTTTTTTCCTCCCAGTTACAGTTGACATTCAATACTATATTTCAGGTGTACTCACCTTTTAATAGTGTAATTAATTAACAAAAGCTTCAGAATGAGTCCAGCTTCACCTTTTTTTAGGAAGCTGTAGATGATGAATCAGTGGTGATGTACAGTTTCATTATATTTATTAATTTTTTATTGACTGATATTTTTTTTAGAGAGAGAGGAAGTATTTTTTAGCCAAGGTTTTATTAGATTCTTAGCAGCATTCAGCTCAAGACTCTACCACTGTTCTAAATTGTCAGTTATGTATAATGCTTTGTGCTTTACTATCTGTCAGCCAAGCTGGAGTAGGGTTGTCATCTTAGTTGAGGAGTGTATCTTGGGCATATTACCAAACAGAAAAGCACCCCATTTCTCCCATGAAGTAAGCCAAGTGAGTATTCAAATGCAGTCAGGATTCTCCTTGAGGGACAAAATCTGTTTACTCTTAATGAAATAACTAATCAGATCTCCAACTAGATTAACTAAACATCCACCTCAGCTTGTGAAGGAAGACCTTAATTAGGGGTCTCCAAGCTTCCTTTCATTATTGTAACTTTTTGCTATATATTCTCTTTAAAAATTATTTTTATAAACTGTATGCCAAAATAAGTAAGATGGCTTGCTGTTTGGATTTATTAAGTAATAAGTTTAAGCCACATCAAGGAGTTAATAAACTCCATGTACAAAATCTAGAAGTTTACTTTTTTTTTTTCTATTGCAGTCCTACCATTAAGTTAATGGATGAAGAGATGACGCTTTGCTTTTTGAAGTACATATATATGCACATGAATGCATATATAAAAATTGCTGGTTTCACTATTAGAGGGCATTCACGAAAACAACTCTTGCACCTCTCAGAAGATATCTGCCTCTTGTACTTGGATGTATAATATATCGGATGGATACAATCAGATAAAAATGTAAAAGTAAATCATTCAAATGTGATTTTTATTCAGTTTTTATGGAAAGTTAAAATAAGTATATTGAATAGCTCTTTGATATAATTTGTTTAAAACAAATTTTGGATTTGTTTAAATTATGAAACTACAGACTTAAAAATCTAAGATGATGTATGTATTATTGTTAGAATCTGCAACCTCATTGGCAAATTATTTCAAGTATTTTTCTATAATCACATTTTCCCTAAGTGAACACACTTTGAAATACTCATTGTCATAATTTAAACAAATGATGCCTCTCAACATCTTGAGCTGCTCTATCTATAGAATAAATAAAACTAGTCCTCTTGAGGTTATGTTTTGAATATACATTTTAAAACTGGCAGTAAGTATTGTCAGATGTTGAGTTTATTAGGCAGTGTTCGTTTTTATACTTGAGATTTTAGTAACAGCTTTCATTTTGAGTTCCACCTGATTTGTTTTACTTTTAGCCAAATGGGTCAGACAGCTCTAAAATCTGCCATTTATGGAAACTTTTCTTTTTAATGCAGGCCAACATGTATGTAAAGTATGCTCTTAAAGAATTAGTGATCTCTGTATTGCCGTAGAATAGATTGAAATGTCCATATTGCTTTGGGAAGAGCTCAAGGAAGGAAATAATTCTCTCCTTTGTCTTGAACCTCAAACTAGAGGAAACATTGGGAGTTGCTTCATAGTGAAAGTAATTTGCATTCTCACAAATCACTCTTCCCCCCAGACCCTTCCTTGTAGGCCCTTCTCCCTCAGTTCTTTAGGAGCACATCCCTTAATTCCTCCCTGATACGGAAAACTGGCACACTCTAGGGGTCTGTCATAAACACATATAGCAGTTGTTTAAAGAACCTTAGTCACACAGGCATGACTGTTCTCTTTGTAGAAGTGTGATCAAAATATGTATCTGTCTTTCAGAGTCTGGTTAAGCTATGTCATTGTCTATTGCATAGTTTCCTGGATCTGTTTGTAAAGTGCTTATGGCTAACAGTTCAGTTCTGTATTTGTTGACAGGTAAATAGGTAGAATTAAGTGCCATCCTTAAAAATTATCCTCTTACTTTGACACTGAAAATAATAAAGTATAGATCTCTGCAATTGAGTTTAAAGAAGTGTGACTGTATTACTTAAATGTGTTGTTTGTAACCACCAAAATAGTCTGAGTAGTTTTTTGGCACCTTATCTTTAAATCAGATTCTTAATTTTGGGATAGAACTGATCGTGTTATTTGTGAAATAACATTTTGAAACTTTTAATATATCCATTGGGTTACTAAAATGTATTGTGAATTTCTTCACCATTATAGGATAGATTGATTTATGCTAGAATTTTTGGTTTTGCTTAGAAATAAAGTATTTAGTAGTTTATTTTTCTTATAGTTAAAATGTCAAGAATGCCAAATACTGCCAATTTAATGGTCAGTAGCTACCTCCTTTTAAGAAAGCAAGATGGCCACCTTTGGGAGAAACATTCAGTGTTGAAACCTCCCTTTTAAGTAGGTGATAGATTCAGGCTTCCAGAATTGAAAGTAATTTGTTTAGATATTTTCAGACTGGTGAATGTTGTTACACAGTTCTTGCATAGTGGCACATGTGGTCTTTTTATCTTTCACTTCCTTGCAAGGCCAGGTGGCAGCCATTTACAACACTTTTTGGAACTCTGTTGTCAAAGTAGCCTCCAATTTTCAAGGCAAGTAGCCTTAGGTGTTATATCTTAAATTATCAGTCATCATCATGTCAGCTAACTTTGGAGGCATAAGATGAGAGGAAAAGTGAGATGGCAGCGAAGATCTCTCCTTATGCTTATTTTGGTTGTCCTGCATTAGGATTAAGTTGATAACTCTGGCTTTAGATGTAATATTTAATGTAACACCAGAAAGGATAATGTTTGACTAAAAGATGGGGTAGCAAGTTTGGGAGTCTAATTGAGGAGCCTGTTTATTATTGGAGAAAATCTTTTGTTAAAGGATTTGAAGGACCATGAACACAAGATTTGGAATTACTATTCCCAATAAGTATATTAACTTTGCTAGTGACCCATACTGCTCAGTGTGCCCTAGACAATACTGCTATTTTTAACCTTTGCTTTTCAAGGACTTTTTTTTTTTTTTTTTAATGGAAAAATGGAAATCAAAGGGAACAGAATTTGCTGTTATATTTGTAATTCTTTAGAGCATCATTTCTCAAATCGGGAGAGGTGTCTCAATTCTCAAGGGTACTCTAGGCAAAAAGTATTTTTAGGTTCAGGGTGGAGTTAAGAAAATCAGAAGTTTCAATGGGGGAAGCATCTAAGGAAGATTTCTTTTCTCTTTATAAGGGAATAATTTGCTTTAAAAAATAAGTCATGCGAGGCTGAGTTTATTGAAGACTACTTGTTACCAAGTATGTTTAGTCTTAAGGGAATGTAAAGTATGAAATATGCTGGTATTTGAACTTCAAGAGCAAGAATTTCAAAATAAGTTTGGTGGAGATAGTTGAGATGCGTTGAAGAATATAGACTTTGAAATGTTGAACCTAAAAAATGACAATGAAAAATTAAAATATAGACCTTATATTCACATTCAGTTCTCAAGAATCAAGGCACCTTAAAGAAGTTTAATAACTTGGCTTGTCTTTATTGGACTCAGCCTGACACCTTTTCAAGCCTGAGATGGCTGTTTGCAGCTCTCACTCCACAGCCCTGTTTTGTGTAAAGCTATGTATTGATTATGCAGGAGCAGGCATGACTTTTTTTTTTAACATCTCTATTTGCAGCCATCACTGGGGCCATTTCTTGCTGCTTGTTTGCTGGCCTGCTCTTCCAGCAGCATGGCACGGCACAAGGTCTTGATGACATCTTGCAGCGCTGAGAAGTGCTTGGCTTGCTGGGCCAGGGCAGACTCTGCCTTGTTCACAAAGGTCTCCAGATCGTAGTCTGGCTTCTTGGTCATCTTTGAGAGCTCAAGCCAGCCTGGCCCTTGCTGTATAACCCTGAGCTCTTCCATGACCCTCCTCCAGCTCCCTGATCTGAGTCATGGCTTCATTAAAGGTGAACATCTGGAAAGACAGTTCCTCTTCCTTAGAAACATTGCCTGTGATCAAGGACCCATGAAAGCTGGCTTCTCTCTCTTCTGTTTCCATTTGAGTTGGCTGCTCCTCACTGGGCCTACTCTGGGGGCTCAGCTCCTTGACCCTGTCTGAGTATCTTAGTGTATTTAAAGTGCATTCACAGGAGCTCATGCCTGGTGAGAGCATGGCAATCCATGGCTTGGCGCCAGCTGGAAAGAGTAACAAGACATTTTTAATTACCCAAGGGCCTCCTCCCTTTGTCCATTTTACTGTTTATTGTTTTCAGTAGAGAATAGTAATAGGGCAGAGAAGAAGGGTGAATTTTTGGCCTTGGTTGGTCACACCACTACAATGGAATATTAGAATATTTTCTAGGAAAGAAGTCAGTTGTGCCCATATTTTACCTCATAAATAATTAGTGCTACCTATTGTACTCAGATGTACAGCTTTCGAAACTATGTGTAGATGAACATAGCTCTACTCAAAGTTTCAATAAAAATACTGTGCCTAGTTTTCCTATAAATCAATTGCCTACACTTTTAAATGATTAGTGCCATGTCTTCCTTCCTCACCCTGAATGATCTAGTGCTAGCTTTATTAAAATGCCACGGTTACAAACCCTGGGAGTTAAACCTGAGCACAGACCTTCCAGTGTTAACGTTTTTTGAAAAGCAGAAGGCTAAATTCAGATGAATCACACTGATACACTGCGCTATGCATAGAAAGTGGTGGGTGGCTTTCAGGGAAGACTATAATTTAATCCTAATAGAGCAATATTTAGTATGAAGACACTGTTCTGTTTATTTTCAGAATTCTGCCAAGTAAAACAAAAATTGCCAATAAAATAATCAGTATTAAAGAAATGCTATGCGAGCTTCTGGCTGTAGAATATTTCTGAGAACTACATTCATTCAACAGACACTTAAATGTCTGTGATCTAGGTGCTTTGCCAGATGCCAGAGATTAAAGAGAGTGCCTGACCTTTAGAGGTTCCCAGTCTAGAGGGGGCATTATAGAATTCATTAGTATACCCATTATTAGTTTAACCTGGAAAAACATATTTTGGTGTTCCTGCTGGTGGAAATTATAGACCAGCCTTTGGGCATTTTAAAGAGCAAAATATGCTATACCTTTTTTTTTTTAAGTAAGAAATGAATGTTTTCCAGGATTGTAGTCTTGTCATTATAACTTTTCAAACATGCAAAGTAATGGGATGTTTTCCTTTTTACTTTTCCCCTGGATAAAGGCACTTTCACTGCCTGTCATTGATTAGCAGATACTGATTTGTTGCCATTAAGTAAACTTGATTTCTTTGTGCTCTATAAAGGTTTTTTGTATTTTTTCTTGATATTGTTATTTTTTCATTGAGTTAATAATGACGAATTTAATGTATGTAATTGTCTATGCATTTTAAGTTAAACTGCCTAAAATGTGATTTGAGACATATACATTTGTTTGTATTATGAACTGTAAGCAATCTGTTTGAGACGTTAGGTTTTATCACCTGCTGCTGTATTTGTAAACAAAGATAAATGTTGCTTTAAGAAGTAATTATAATTAGGACTAGTCTGTGGATGTGATACTTGATATTTTTAAAGATAAACTTGTTTGCTTTTGTGTATTATACCTGAAAACTTTTTAAAAATGTATTTTCATGGCTTCACAGTTTTTCCATGTATTTTATTCTTAGGCCTAATTCTGGGCTTCCCCAAACAAGTCCAGAGCCTAATTAACTACAAATTTGTTGACATAAAGACAAAGGGCTGGAGTCGCCCCTCTGTATGTGACCTGCTTTCAGTAAGGCATTTATATAGGCTCTCTGGGACAACCCTTCCTCCACAAACCCTCTTTCAGCAACATGGTGCCAATGTGAGGATTTCCTCTCCCTTCAAGGCCAAGCTATTCCTTGTAACCAGGTTTTCTGTATATACAGAGTTAGGGAACCGTCCCTATCTGCCACTGCTGCCACCACCACTGCTTTCTTTTATGAAAGATAGTTTTGCTCTTGCTCTGTTCTGCCACTAGTGAGGGTCACATTGTTAAACTTGGGGTAGTTTGCCACTTCCTTTCCATGGTGGGGTCACTAGCCTTTCTTCAACCCAGTGTGAAGGGGGCTGTGAATGAAGAAATAATTTATAGTATGTCCTACTTTGCAAAGGGAGTTCTGCTTTTTGCCTTATAATTGGACAAAATGCAACTGTAAGTTTTTAAATTGCAGTTGATGTCTTATTTCATAGCCCTAAAAGTACTCACCTAAAATGGAGCTGTGAGATAAGAGACCGTTCTAGAACGGGCAGTGTTTTTTCCTCCATTGCGAAATGGCAGTGCTCTGACAAACGTGCTTCCCTGGGTACCCGACCCAAGCAGGTTCTCTTTCTTTTAATCCTCACCCAAGGACATGCTTATTGATTTTAGAAAGAGACACCAATGTGAGAGGGAACATCAGTTGGTTGCCTTCGGTATGTACCCCTACCTGGGATCAAGTCCGCAGCCTTTCAGTGTACAGGTGACTGCAACCAGCTCAGCCACACCGGCCAGGGCCCAAGCAGGTTCTTTTTACCGCCATCCTAAAACTTAGCACCAATCCGTTTACAACAGATCTCTAAGGCAATGTAGAACCCTAACTATTAGCTCACTTATTTTAAACAAGTGCTATAGAATGTCAGCACCAAAGGAGAATTTGGCCACCTCAGAGATTTTGTTGGTATAGCATTTGCACATTGTTCTTATTTGGGGAGGCTTTTATGTTTGTGCGTTAAACAGTTTATTTTCATACTGTGTTCCGTGGTGCTCTGGGGCTCCAGCTGAGGAGGGGGCCAAGCAGGTGGAGCTTATTTCCTCACTGCTCCCTGCTTTCACTAGAGCAATTCCATTCTTCTACTTTTTTTAACTTTTAATTTATTAATTTTAGAGAAACATCGATTTGTTGTTCCACTTATTTATGCATTCATTGGTTGATTCTTACATGTGCCCTGACCAGAAATCAAACCCAAAACCTAGGCATATAAGGACAGTCCTCTAACCAGCTGAGCCACCCAGCCAGGTCCGTTCTTCCACTTTATTTTCCCTACTGTATTAGTAGGTAGTACAACTTGGGCAGCCATGACAAAATAACAGACTGGGTTGCTTAAACAAGATAAATTTTTCTCACAGTTCTGGAGGCTGGGAAGTCCGAGATCAAGGCACTGACCAGTCTGATTCCTCAGTGAGTGGGCTTCCTGACTTGCAGATTGCCACCTTCTCTCTGTGTCCTCACATGCTGGAAACAGGATTGAGATGGAGCTCTAGGAAGTCTCAGAAGGGCACTAATCCCATCATGAGGGCCCCACCCTCATGACTCTTTCTAATCTGCCTATCTCCCAAAGGCCCCATCTTCTGGTACCTTTACATTGTGGGTTAGTGCTTCAACATAAGAATTTGGTGGGGCACACAATTTGCTATATAGCACTTTAAAGATGGGGAGACAAAAAGGTTGGCTGCTTTTAAAATTTTAAAAATAGATGACCATATCTCCTACTTGACATTTACTAAAGTCATAATCACAGATTCACAATTATAATAGAATCTCAGGCCACTTGGAATTCTAAGAAAGTGTTAGTGTCGCATAAGAAATGAGGATATTAAACATTTTGTTAAGTTTTTGCTGTGGTCATGTTTTATGTTAGACATTTTTTAAAAAAGATATGTTTTTATTGATTTTAGAGAGAGGAAGGAAGAGGGAGATAGAAATATCAGTGATGAGAGAGATTGATTGGCTGTCTCCCGCACACCCCCTGCTGGGGATTGAGCCTGGAACCTGGACATGTTCGAACCATGATCCTGGACCGTAGGTCAATGCTCAGCTGAGCCATGCGGACTGGGCTAGGATAGACATTTTTAAATAGTCATTTAGACTAGCCTCCCTAAAGCTTAGATTAAAAAGATAATCTCTTTTCCCTAAAAGAAAAAGGAAACTTTAAGAGGTTACGTAAATTCCCATGGTCCTACTACGTAAATGATAGCACCAGCTTTTCAGTCATAAATATTTAGGGTTTTCCCACTAGATTATATTTTGTTCAAGTATCCAATACCCTCTTTATGCAGTTCCTTGATTACCAGTCTAGACCCTTGCCTTCTCTCATCCATAAGGACATCCTGTTGTACTTGTCCTCTTAAGACGCCACTGAGGAGCTTCCAAAGTTATGCGAAAACTTTCCTAACACTCAGCTAGTTAAATTCTTAAAGAGGCCAAGTTAAATTGAGCTTCATGTATTGTCCTTATTATTACACAGCTTCATTTCCTGACAGCTAGTAATGAGAGCTTAATTACACCTTACATACTTCATTCAATTCTTAACACTCCTGCCTTTGAGATGCAATCTCGGAGGACACAGAAGTAAGGCTAGTTGACACTACTTAACCCGAACAGTCTCGGTTAAGCCTCCCAACAAACTAAGACAAGGACATTTCTTATCCCCATTTTACTGTTGATGAAACTAAGGCTAGGACATAGTAGAGACCACATAGGTCTTATGTTGTGGAACAGAATCCTAGGGGCGACTGGTATAAAAGCTTCTACTGTGAACCACTTCAAAATGCTTTCTTAAGAACAGGTTCTCTGTATTATGTGTGCCTGCCATGGCTGCCTTAGTGCTGTAGTTCTTCCAAAATTGTACACCTGGAAGGTCACATCTATCTAACATTTATTGAACGTTTTGTAGCAGACATTTTCACACATTTTGTCACTGAATGAGTTTCATTGGATATTCACTTTAAAAAGCTAATGTTTATGTTTGAAATGCATGTCCTTATAGTTTAGTGAATTGGTACAGTCCTTAAACTAAGAACTTATATTTTCATAAGCAAAGGCAGATGTCAAAGGGGTAGCAGGTAAGAGTAGATTTAAGATATGGATGTGAGAATTGTAAAAGCTACTGAATGATCAGACCACTCGTTCCAGTCCTGTCAGTTATTGAAGACACTGGGTGTCCAGCTGCCCTGCAGTGGGAAAGGCTCAGACAAGGCTGTCAGAGTGCTGAGACAAGAAGTCTCTGTTAGCAGTGGATGAGCAGCCAAGATGTACAGGAACTGTACAGCGGGTGGGGGAGTCCCAAATGAGGTTCTGCCAAGTATGGCTTGACAGTTCTTTTTTAAACTTGCCAATACAGGACATGCTAAGTTAAAACATCTCAACTGTTGCTTAGTTACCCCAACACACAAAAATCCCAAGTACTATACTTAATGAATACTGGATCCCTTGAATGCTTAAAGAAATCTTTACCAAAAAAGACCAAACTACATGACTAATGCTCAGGACTCGTACTTGGACTTTTTGTAGAAGTGGCATGAAGAGGATTACAGTAATGCGAACTGGGAAGAACCTCTACAAACTTCACAAGATTTTTTTTTTTTCCAATTGATTTTTGGAGAGAAGAGAGCGAGAGAGACATCGATGTGTTGTTCCACTTATTTATGCATTCACTAGTTGATTCTTATATGTGCCCTGACAAGAGATGGAACCCACAACCGTGGTGTATCAGGACGACACTCTAAGCAACTGAGCTACCCGGCCAGGGCCTTCAAGAGATTTATCTGAAGGGTGGTAACAAGTCTCCACCTTTGGTGAATCTGTAGTAGAAATCCAATCAAATTATAGAAGGCAAGCTTCATGGTTCAGTGAGCAACAGGATGGCTGGGGATTTAAGGGGCAGAGTTTTTAGCTTTGAGCTCATCTCTGCAGTGCTCGGGCACCATTGACTAGCTTCCTGTGCTCATTTACCTTATCTGTAAAACAGATAATATTGTTCAAAGAATCAAAGAGGGAAAAATGGAACATTCTTCCTTCTCTCTAGACAAAGGGATCTATTTGGTGTATTAGCATAACTAAAAGAATGCACATCAAATAATAGTGTCTATATGAACGTTCCTGTTTTTCAGATTGTCGAATTTGAGGGCTAAAAGTTACACTGTGATATGTGAACATTTATTGAACACCAGATTTGCACTGTAAGTGGTCAAATATTCCAGGTTGCCTGGAACAATTCTGGTTTGTGTTGTTCAGGCGTAATTATTAATAGCACACACCCCGTGCATTCTCAGAAGTATCCTGGTTTTAAGGATAAATTATATGGTTATTCTAACTATAACAAAAAAAGAATACGAGTGAAGATTTTCTGTATTTCCTGAGATAAGAACCCCCTCCTAAAAATCATGTCCTCTCATCAAAGTTAACCTTTGGTTCACATATATTATTTATTTTTACTTACACTGCATCTTTTAAAGGTGAAGAAAAATATCCAAGTCACTTCATTGCAGCCACAGTGCCTTCAGCAAATCCCAAAAGCAAAAAGGGAGCACATTTCAGTCCTGGGACAGGAAGCCAGGCTTTTTTTTTTAGGATAGAGAAGCTCTATAGACAGAAAAGGAGAGATGGGAATAAGGCTTCCTACATTTCTGGGCATCTCTCCAACAGTTTCTGCCTCATGGCCTGTGTCTTTTTTTCCCCAATTCTGAAAGCAATTTCCCTTAAATGTTCCAAGTTTTTTCCCCCTAACTTAATCCTCTCATAAACTGAGTAGCAGTGAAATTATTTCCAGGTTTGGAGGGGGGGG